AGAGAAGAACAGAAACCCTGACATCTTAACAAATGTTTGGTGGTTTCAAGACAGGCTGGCTTATGTGGCCATGGAAAGGAGTTACAGCTAGGGGTATTGAGCTTACCCAGGGACCCCCAGTACAAAGAACCCAAGAGACCAGCAGAAATCCCAGGATTCTTAAGGACCAAAGAAACACAGATCAGAACCATGAGTGGTTCTCATTTTCTAGGGAAAAACAAAAGCAGGAGGCAGGACCTCCTGGTAGTTAAAAGAATGGGCTGCAGAGACAGCCAATCTGGATTCGACTCCCAGGTCTGAAACTTAAAACCTGTGAGATCTTGGCAAACGATGTAGCCTCTCAGAGTTTCAATGTCCTCATCTAAAAAATGAGGTACCAACCATGTACCAAGATGCAATGAGGTACCAAGATGGTGTAGCCATTTTGGAAAGAAGCTGGACAGTTTCTTAGAAGCAAAACATAAATTTACCATATGACCCAGGAATTCCATTCCTATATAAGTACCCAAGAGAAATGAGAAGTCCAAGAAATGTCTATGTCCACACAGACTTGGATACACATGTTCTTAACAGCATTATTCATCGTATAACCCTGAATGTAAATGATCCAAACGTTCATCAGCTGGTGAATGGATTAAACAAAACAATGGAATCCAGTAAGAAGGAATGAAATCATGATACAGGCCACGACCAGAGGCACCTTGAAAACGTTATTCCAAATGAAAGAAATCATTCACAAAAGGTCACATATTGATGTGGTGGGGACTTGATAATGGGGGGAATCTAGTAACCACCATGTTGCTCATGTGATTGTATATTAATGGTACCAAAAAAACCCACAAATGTACAGAGGCAGAAAATAGATTAGCGCAGTTTTCTAGGGATGAGGGTGAGGGGTGGGAACCAGGAGTAACTACAAATGGACACAAAGTTTCTTTCTGGGGTGATGGAGTGTTTTAAAACTGGTTTGTGGTAACAGACACACAACTCTGTAAATTTCCTGAAAATCAATGAATTGTACTCTTAAAATGGGCAAAGTTTATGATCCATAAATTAAACCTCAATAGAACAGTTTTTTTAAAAGGGGGTTGACTACCACACAGGTTGCTGTGAGGATTAGCTGAGGTAAACACTCAATAAATAATTTTGTGATGAACATCAGTATATATACAAATAATAGATTATGTAATATATTACTAATAATAGGTTATGTAAGTGCAGAAAATAGGTAATGCAGAATAACAACAATTTATATCACATATATACTCTCACCATATCCTTTCATCATTTGTCAACTCAATTTAACCTGACACATTTCTGAGGCAGGGGAATTACATCATCTCCATTTTCACAGATGGAGAAACAGACACCGAGAAGGTAAGTAACTTTCCTGAGGTTTGCACAGCTAGCACACAGCAGAGCTGGGACTTGAATCCTGGAGAGCCCACACCAGTCTGTGCTCCTCGCCAGGACACAGTTGCCTCTCAGTAAACGTCAGCTGTGTACTGAGTTACTACTGCTCTAACTAGTGATGGGGGTGGAGGTGCAGAAAAGGCTCATAGACAGCTCCCCACCAAAGGTCATGCAGGATCCAAAGCCGAAGGTTTACAGGAGGTATCAGGGGAAGTGTTCCAGACAGAAAGAACACTGCATATGTTCCAAACTGCATATGCAAAGGTGGGGAGATTACAGAGCTGTGGGAGAAAGCGGGAGGAGCTGGAGCGGCCTGGAGCACAGAGTGATGATGGTAGGCAGTGGGAACAGGACAGTGGGGCTCAGACAGGACCAATGCCAAGGAGGGTCCCTGAGCCCAGACACTAGCCTAAAGGCAACCCAGATCCAGAGATGGAAATCCAGTGCGTCCCCAGCGCTCCTTTACTCTGGGAGTGACTCACGCTGCCCTGGCAGGTGGAGGAGGTTGACTCAGCTGCTGCTGTGAGCTCAGGAGAGCGGGGGAGCTGGCACCCCACGTTCCCATCCCGCTGTGAGCTAACGCCCCAGCAGCCTCCCCAACACCAGCTCTGCTAGCACGAAGAAACGAAGAAACCGTCCCAGCCGGCTGGGAGCAGAGGGCTTGGTTGTACTTTCAGGAAACTGAGCACAGCCCAGTGAGATGGCCTGCTGACTGATGGCAGCTTCCCAGCCCCCACAAAACCCAGACACACCTGTGGACCCGGGGGCCACCTCTCACTCCGCCCCACAGCCTGCCACAGGACACATTGCTCTGGCCTTCCACCCTCACTTGGCCATTCCCCAGCTAGGGGACCAGCCAGTGGGTTCTAGCATTTTTCTCATGCAAATTTAATACACAGACCCTTGGATCTAGTGCTACCATTTTCTCACATCTGCCCTAGATAAACATTTGCATGTGTGCACAAAACATTTTGCTTTGGGGAAGTAAAACTCCTGAAAAAATTTTATGCCTATCAGTAAGAAACAACTTCAAAAATTCTGGTGAATCCACACTGCAAATTACTATGTGGCAATGAAAAAGAATAATATATCTTCTGATATAAAAAGCAGATACATCATTCTGTTGTGCCAGCGTGAAAACACTTTCAAGACATATAGTTGGGTGGGAAAAAAAAGAAATTACATAATAATGTATCTAGTATGTCATCACTTATATAAAAACTAAAACATACAAACCAAAAACACAAATTAGTTCTATATTTCTCCAAGTCCAATACATAGGTAAATGAGAAAGATGCCTAGAAGGAAATATATCAAACAGCAGCAGTAATCATGGAAGGAAGGGAGGGAGGGATTTTACTCTGTATATGTCTATGTTGTTTGATTTTTACACAAAGAATGTGTGTGCACGTTTGGGTTCTTAAAAACATTAAAGTCTTTAAAAAAAACAAACCACAAAAGATGTATTAAAATGATCACCATTCAGGATGACATTTCACAGAGCTGTCACATCCAGGACCCTGCGTACGTCTTGCCACATCCCCTTGAGAGCTAGCGTTCACAACCCCATTTTACAGATTAAGAAAATGAACCCGAGAAGTGAAACAAGCTTCTCATGGTCACAGGCAGGGCCGAGGGGCCTGGTCCTTGGACCCAAGAGCAGTGCTCCATCTAACCAGCCTATGTGGGAGCATGCTAGGCCACGGCCCCATGGCCTGGTGGAGGCACGACGTTCAATGTTCGAAGGAGCCCATTCTCCAGCTCACAGAGCCTCTGATAAGCGCCCTCAGGGAGAAGAACCAGGGCTTTATCGGGGAAGGAAGGACCAAAGATGAGTGGCGAAAGAAGAGTGATGAGCTGCTGCCCACGATGAAATCAGCACGACATGCCACCCACTGAGTGGGTGGGGCCGGCCACGTCACAGGCACCTGGCAAGCCACACGTGGGAAGGAGCTTCCCAGGGCCCTGAACCCCGAGCTGAGACTTCCTGCCTCTCTCGCGGGGGCTGCTTGCCCCAGGTCTTGGCTGTGCTGCCCTCGGCTGAGTGGTGGTGGGAATGCCCCTCTGCTCATTTCCCAGAGCACTCTGTAACCATGGGAGACACGGAAAGGGGCTTCTCGGAGGGTTCTAGAACCTGAAGAGCAACATGCTTACAACCTAACACCCTCTAGTGCAGTAAGTGCCACCACCCCTCAATTCTTTCACTGACTGCCTTAGACCAAGCGTCTGGAGGATGTGCAGAAGCAGAGGCCAGACGGACCCAGGAAACATGGCTAGACCCCTCCAGCGAGAGCCACAAAGCACTGGTATACAGGGAGGGGCCAGAGGCTGCTGAGGGGAACACAGGCCGCAGGCACAAACCTCCGCTGCACAGCGAGCAGGTGTGACCCCTCAGGGCATGCTCAAAGGGCTTTGCCCCAATCATAGATCCTCCGTTCTTTCTAAGTCAGGAAGCAAACCTACAAGGCCACGCGGCCAGTGATTCCCCGGGGAGCTGATCCCTGCTCTGCTACCTTGGTCAAGGTTCTGAAACTCTCTGGGTCTCAGTTTCCCCATCTGTAAAAGTGGGTGTTACTATACCTGCCTCTTGGGTGTGGTGATATCTGGATGATGGTACACACACTAATATAATTTAAAAATGTAACAAATACCAGGTACCCATAAAATCTGCAACATGAAACTATGTGAGTGTGCATTTGTGCTTATATTTATTCATTTGCTTTACAGAGTGAAAATGTCCTAGACAACATTGTATATTTGTGTGTTTCCAGACTTTTGGACACCCTACAAATATAATTATATATGTATATTTATATACAAATATGTACAACTGCGTATATAAATATTATATAGTCATTATGTAGATATAATGAAAGAGTAATACCATAAAAAAATAAAACATGTTAATAACCATTTACATGGTATGAGGTCCCATGTCCAAGAATTTACAGGTATTATTTTATGTTCACAACAAGCTCTTGAGGTAGAACTATTATTTATCCTCATTTTACAGAAACTGAGCTGTAGAGAGCTGAGTGACTTGCCCACTTACCAGGGTCCCACAGGGAATAATCAAGAAAGCCGGTTTTAGAAGTGAGGGTCTAACTTCAGAGCCTTTGCCATCAGCCTGTCCTCACCACCATCAACCTCGGAAGCCAAGGCCAAAAAAGCTTACAGAACCCCACGTGGGTGGTCTGGCACAGAGGAAGGGCTTAAGAAATGTGGGGTTCTATGCATATTGCACTCTTGGAGGAAAGAAACCAGATCCAGTCTGTTCACTGACATCTAGAATAATGTTGCACCAGAAGGAGCTTGTCAGTCAACATTTGGGGGAGGGAAGGAAAATGAGCATGGTGTTCATTAGCCAAAGGCTGGAATTCTTGTTTCCAAACAAAAAGCAGCTAAGATAAAATTCAGAGGCTTCCCTAGCAACGTCCGCCTCCTAAGGCTCGGGGAACTGCCCGAGCTCGGGTGTGCCAGACCCCACCAGCTCACACCTCCGCTGCCCAGACCCTGGTGTCCACACCCTTAACAGGAGGCACCGATGCCCGGGCAGCGGCCAGCCGCTAAGGAACAGAGTGGCCTACCTTCGTCGGTGTCGTTCCTCAATGAGGCCTCCAGCAGGGCCACACTGGCCTCAAAGGTCACCTTCTTCCTCCGGCCGCCGCCACTGCGCTTCCGCTCATGCTTGCGCTTGCGGTGCTGCAGGTCCTGCTCGTACTGGGCCCACTTCTTCAGCTGCTGGGCCCGGCGCTTCTGGGCGGCACGCAGCCGCTCCAGCGTGGGCACCTTCTCCAACAGCTGCAGCTCCGTCAGCAGGTCCACGTGGCTGGCCATGGCCACGGCGCCTCCCCTTGCCCTGGCTGGGGGCTAGCGCGGTGCGCCGGGGGCCGGGGGAGCACAGGGGCTCCTGCGGGGCTGGGGCCTCATGGCGGGGCCTGTGGCCGGGAGAGAGACACAGGTGGACATGCTTGTCAGGCTCAAATCTCAGATCTCACCCAAACTCACGTGAAAACACTTTCTTCCCCTATTTTTTAAATTGAGATATAATTGCCCCATAACATCGGGTAAGTTCATGGTGTACAATGTTTGCCTTCATACACTTATATACCGTAATTTGATTGCTTCTGTACCCACGGTCCCGTTAGCTAACATCGCCATTGCTTCACATAATTACCATCACTTTTTATGGTTATATGTTATTTCACATGAGGTTATATTGTTATATAGGGGTTTATTGTTCCTTTTAAAGGAATTAATATTATGTTTTCCACTTCTCCATATTAATTTATAATATTGTAAATATTGACAGATATATTCCACGTGAACAAAAGCCCTTTGGGATCCTAAACTTTAAGAGTACAAAGGGGCCCTAAGACCAAAAATGTTTGAACTACTGGAACCTAGAAAATCTTAGTTGAAGTTCTACTCTTTGGATGACCTTTAAATTTTTTAAAAATCACACCTCTTGTTCTCATCGATTCCTGAATAATTTGAAGTCAACAAAATTTCAGAGTCTGATGCCAAATGGCCCCTGTCTTCATGTCAGCCCAGACCCCCATGGGCTCTCAGACACAGAGGGAAAGGGTTTTGGGGCATTAATCCGAACCTCTCTAAGCCTGTTTTCCCACCTGTAAAATGTTGTATTCACCTCCCAGAATTTACAGGATATTCAAGGAAAAGAAAGAGCTGACCGACAATGTTATACACCTAATAGCAAAGAGAAACAAGCTGGGGGGAAGAGGAGCAGGGTCACGTAGATGTAGCACACAGGGAGCCCACAGGCAAGGCTGGTGGATAATTGCTGGGCGGCAGAGAAAGACCAGGACAGGTCTGCATTTGTGTGATGTGGCGATGCCTGCCTGTCGCAGGGGACCAGAAATGCGCTGGGCTTCAGGAAGTGCTTGTCAATCTACCAGGTTTCCTGCCCCACTTCCATCCTCAGGGAACTAAAGACCAGGGTTCAGCCTCAGCCTGGACCCATGGGAGCTCAGGTTGACTAGGATTGTTCTTCAGATGTCTTCCAGCTCTGAGACCAGAGGGTAGACAGGCAGAATGGGAAAAGGCTTGACTTGGCAATGCTCAGAGGACAAAGGCCCTCAGGATCAGTCAGAGTGGACCTGACCTCAAAGGTAATCATAAGCCAATGGAAAGGCTCAGCAGGAAACAAGCTAACTGCCTTTGGTTGCCTATTGTTTTATTTTGAATACCTTGCTATGCTTTTCAAATTAATTAAACTTTTTATCAATTAAGATAATTATAGATTCAGATACAGTTGTAACAAATAATATGGAAAGATCCCTTCAATCTTTAACTAGTTTATCCCAATGGTAACATCTTGCAAAACTACAGTACAATATTGCTACCAGGAACCTGACTTTGTTACAACCTAGCAATCTATTCAAATTCCCCTAGTTTTTCATATACTCATTTGTGTGTGTGTTGGTGTGTGTTTAGTCTTACCTGAGTCCATCATATGTGTAGGTTCGAGCATCCATCACCACCATCAAGATACAAACAGTCTCATTACACTCCTGTTCTTCCCCTTGGCAATCACTAATTTGTTCCCCATCTCTAGAATTTTGTCACTTCAAAATGTTACATAAATAGAATCAGACAGTAGGCAACCTTGTGATTGGCTTTCCTCACTTAGCATCTTTCCCTAGAGATTCATCCAAGTTGTTGCAAGTATCCACAGTTCATTCCTTCTAGTTGTTGAGTAATACTCCATTGTATGGATATACCACAGTTTGTTTAACCACTCACTCACTGAAGAACATCTGGGCTGTTTCTGGTTTGGGGTTAAGACATTCCTGTGCAGATTTTTGTGTGAACATAAGCCCAAGAGTACAATTGCTGGGTTGTATGATAATTACACGTTTAGCTTTATAAGAAACTATCAAACTGTTTTCCAGGGTGGTTATACCATTCTTCATTCCCACCAGTGATATATGAGTGATCCAGTTTCTCTGCCAGCATTTGATGTTGTCACTGTTTTTTATTTCAGCCATTTAGATGGATATTTTGGTTGCCTTTTTAAAAGTAAGGAGTTCAGGAGAGTTGAATTCACAGCCACATAGCATCAGCAGGTAGGTCAGACCTCACTAGGAGCTAGCAGACCACATATTTACTCCCTATACTTCCTCAAGTAATCAAATATTCAGTGGATTCCTGCTCTGTTACAAGCCCTGATTCAGACACAGAACAGGCACCAGCTCGGCCTTCCAGAAATCCCCAGTCTGTCTGTCAATCAATCTAAAAATTCATTTAATCCTCTTGACAACCTAATGAGGTAGGTACTATTCTCATTCCCATTTCACAGAGAAAGAAACTGAGGCACAGAGAAATTAGGTAACTTACCCAATATCTCACAGCTAGAAGATGTTAAGGGCCAGTTTGTTTGGGGTTATCAGGAAGGCCTCTCCAGAGCAGGGAACAACTAATCCGAATCACAAAGGGGGAGTTCAAGTGCCCCAGATAAGAAAGGCAGACCTGGGCCGAGGGGGAGCTTGGCAATGGTCAAAGGCATGCAGAGGGGCTGACCACCACGGTGGGTATTGTGTGAACCAACACACACAAATATGGCTTGAAGAGGGTGGGGTTGCCCAGCTGAAAGGAAACAGCCTTGAGGGCAGTGGTGAGCACCTTGCTGCTGTCGGCAGGACTTAACAAGAAAGCCCTCTGTGGTCCTCATGACGTTTGATTGGTTGTTTGATTGATATTTGGGCCACACCATGTTTTACGATATTGTAATTCATTACCAACATTTAAAACTTGAAGATTTTATATCCAAAATCTGATTTTCAGCTTTTCTGAGAACATCTCAGTATATGGCCACACTGGGCTCAGATGGCAACAATCAGCAGGCATGGAGTGGGACTGTCCACTTCACATGGGGCACATGCCCTCTAATTTACCACAGTCCCCTCTCCCCGCTGTTACTGACTTCCCTCACTAATGGGCATCACTTGCTGGTCCTATGGTCATTTGAGTTTGCAAGCCCTGTCTTAGGCAGAATGAGACAGCAACCTCCACATATCCAGAGACCCAATATGCACAAGAAAGAGTATAAGTCTGTGCATCTGCCCAGTGCAGAACAGAGCAGCATGGGTGTGCACCTGCAAAACAGAGCCAGCCAGCCTCCAGAGCTGTCCTACGGGCAGTTCAAAGGGACTGTGGTCCAGGGGCTGTCTGAGCGGTGGAAGATCTCCATCATTCACTTGAGAATGAAATTTCCACTGGCGTCTTATCCACCTAAGTATTTGGTAAGATTTCTTTCAGCCCTAAGATTCTGTATACAGACAGTTACTCATTTCTTCATTATTAAGTATTTATTGATGACCAACTAAGTGGGAGGTACCAAAAACATGCTAAAGCTGAGGAATAACCATACCAATCACTTATGCAGTTAATTAAAGCACTTAATCCTTTTCCAAGGATTTCAAGGGAATTTTCAAAAATATGGGACAAGGCTCACTAAAACATGGACTCACAGAGAGAGCAAGTTATCCTCTCTTCACCTCTTTTTTAATCCATCAGATTTTCTCCAAAAGAAAGAATCTGTTAGGTGCTAACAGATCTTTAGCATCCTTATAACCTTGTCAATCTCCCTGGTAGACAATGAGAAAGGAGGCCTCAGGCTCATAGCCTGGGGCAAGCAATTGTATGTAGGAGAGAATTTCATCACATTGTTTTGTTTTCTGTGGATTTGTTTTCACAGTTACTGTTTATTTATGGTAGTGGTATAAAATTTCCCTTCTAAATAAATCAACAAGGGACAACTAGCAAGGTGGTAGGAAAACTATTAAATAGATGGTATTTAAGCAACTGCATAGTGTTGGCAAAAATTCTAAGTGATTGATGTTTGGGAAACCCACTGGCTGCTAATCCTCAGTGACAACAATCTTACAAGAGAAGCACTCACCTGTGCTCATGATTTCATCTGACAAATATTTCTTGGGCACCTACCACATGCCAGGTCTGTGCTAAAGACTAGGGACACAGCAGGGCAAAAGACAGGTATGGTGCCCGCCCACTGGACAGATGACAAACAGGCACAAGGGAGTGGGTGACATGCTCCAAGGATATAGAGACTGAGCAGTAACTCGAACCTGGGCCTGCCTCCCAGGATAGCGCTCCCCGGCAAGACCCAGCATGGCCCGGCAGGCAGGCAGAAGGCACTCCTTGCAGTGCCCTCCCTGGCTCCAGCACTTTGCTCTGGGTGAGGGAATTAAGGACAGGTGCCCAGCCCCCAAGAGCAAGGTGAGGACAAGCCTCCCAAGGGCCAATAAAAGGGGCCAAAGCACATTTCCTCTGACTTTGCTCCCCCTGCCAGTCCCTGCTGCCTTGCCCCTCTGGGTTCCCTGAAGCTGGGGCTCCAGGACAGCTCCCTCTTGACTGCTGGTTTTCAGGTGACCTAGTTTCCCCCAATAGACCTACACACCAACTCCCGCCCCCAACCGAGAAAGCCCTGCTTGGTCTAATTAAAGAATTGCCATCCTGCTTGTTAGGCGGCCCTCAAGACAGGACACTGGCTCGGGTGCTGGGGCAGTCCACAGAAGCCCTGGTGCCTACGGGCTGCAGGCTTGGCCCCTGAGACCTGGGCACACCTGTTTGAACTTCCAGAGAAAGCCCTGGATGATGCCGGGGACACAGCGCAAACGGCCAGGACCCAGGACAGCAATGGCACTATCAACGCTTAAAGGGGATCCCCTTGGAGGACCTCATTTGGAGGAAAACCAGATCCATGGAGACATACTGACTCAGTGTATTGTGGGAACATCCAGATGGGCCATCCTGCAGAGAAATGAGCATGTGGGGCCCCAAGTCAATGCAGGGGCCAGGCTGGCAAGGATGGTGTGGAGGGATCTGCAGAGGCTCGGTTGGGGTGAGATTATCCAGGAAGTGTGTGTGATATGAGAGGAGAAATCAGAAGCAA